TCCAGGTTGGATCAACGGAATGGAGAACAGCACGCAAGCCAGCACTTCTGTCGAGAAAAGAAATCACCATTGGAGAAGTTACAAGTTGATTATTGACCCGGCTCTGAAAAAAGGACAGCACAAACTCTACCGTTACGATGGGCAACATTTCAGCATGCCTGTGAGTGGGGGGCTCCCGGATTTCCCTCATTGTGTTATGTCTCCCCTCCCCAGCCTCTGTCTTACCGGCGTTTTGGGGGCTGGGGGTCTCTCCGGGTCGTGGTAATCCCTGCCGTGTGCGGGAGGGGGGTCTTGGGGGGACACGCACAGCCACCAAAGTTACCGCCACCTGACACTGTGTATTCAACTGTCAGGAGCCCAAACCTGCGGCTTTTTCCTGTGTTTCCAATCTGTGTGCATTTCCCAGCAGTATTGCAATTTGACACGTGTGTGTGTGTGCGCTTTTCCCTTCCCTTGAGACAGCTCGTGCTTCCTTGGGGTTTATTTTTTCTTTTATTTGTGTCTTAAATTTCAAGCCTTATTATTGCTGTTTCTGTGTTTTCTCTCCTCCTCCTCCTCCTCCTTCTCCTCCCAGAACTCGGGAATCGCTCCTGTGGATTGTGTCAGGGATCCCAGAATAGGGCGAATATGGACCAAAACTAAGGAGTTGGAGCTGTCTGTCCCCAAATTCAAGGTACTGCCCTGAATTTTGGCTTTAGCTCTGTATTCTTGTTTATCTGGGAGTGGAGCCTCAGTTCCAAATAGTTTAATGGACCGTTTAAATGACAGTCATATTCCTATTAACACTGTTATTTAGCAAACTGTTTAACAATAATCCTCTTCTATAAGGATAAGGAGAAATCAATGCTTCTGTCTAACAAGATCACTTGAAGGTTTTGGAGCTGGGGCTTCTTGGGCAGGGGGCGGTGGAAGGGGGCTCTCCACGCACAGTGCTGCTCAAAATACATCTTTGTAGCCCAGAAAGGAGCCGGTTCCAATGAATGGCTGCAGCAGCGGATCCTCTGCTCAGCTCTGAGCTTCATCCCAGAGCCTCAGAAGCGTTTCCCCCCCCACCAAACTTTGCAGGATGTTTTAACCCTCTCCCTGCCGTGCCATCCTTAGGCCCTCCCCCACACTCATTAAACAACGATGATTGTTTTTATCACTTCCCACCTTGTGCCCGTTCCAGATTGATGAATTTTACGTGGGGCCAGTGCCTCCCAAGCAGGTCACCTTTGCCAAGCTGAACGACAACATCCGCGAAAACTTTCTGGCCGACATGTGCAAGAAATACGGCGAAGTGGAAGAGGTGGAGATTCTCTACAACCCCAAGAACAAGAAGCACCTGGGCATCGCCAAAGTCATCTTTGCCACTGTCAAGGGTGCCCGGGAGGCTGTCCAGCACCTTCACAACACCTCCGTCATGGGGAACATCATCCACGTGGAGCTGGATACAAAAGGTGAGGGGGCACGTTCTGGCCCCACGCGTTTGGGGTCTGCAGAGCCCCTGCCCATCCCGCTCCCACCGCAGAGGCTGTTGCAGAGGGGAGGAACCTGGTGATTAAAAATACGAAGGGAGCCGGCAAGGTCTGGTGTCTGGGGCCTGGGCGAGTCACGTGGAGCCAAATGTGTTGTCTGTTGCTAAGAGACAGCCCTGTAATTTGCAAAATGCTGCCATCCTGCCTGTCCCCTGCCCGTCCCTGTCCCCGCTCACTGCTCTCCCATGTCCCCCATCTCCCTGCCCCAGGCTGGCCCCTCTCGGCCACCTGCCGGGGCTGCCGGACCCCATGCCACCTGCCTTTTGCAAACCTGGGCTTTCTGGGCAAGTCCTGGTGGATCCTGGGACCCGAATCTCTTGGTTCTGGCAGCGGCAGCAGGGCTGGGTGCTGTCCTCTGCGTGCCTGGCATTTCATTGATACTTAGAGCACACTGGAGGCTGGGGCAGCAGAGTGCACACGCAGCACTTGTCAGGGTGTGCGAGTGTGTAAGTGTGAGACTGGCTCTTAAAGCGACAGGAGCTCCCTGTCCTGGAGTAACCGGCTCCCAGCCCCACACCCGAGCCCTCGGGAGCCCAGTAAAGTTCCTGGGAGTGTGAAGGCACTGTGTTTTGTCTGTTCTCTCTGCTTCGAGCGTGTTAGGGAAGGGTTTTGCTGAAATCTGCCTGAATTTTAGGAAAAGATCAGTTGCTGCTTGTACTTCTTCCTTCTAAAGGTGGCATTTCTGGTTTAAAACTGACTCGCTGCACTCCTTCTTGGGAAGAGGACACTGCTAACACCATTTTCTTAAAAATGCTGTTATTTTTTTTCTCTAATAAAAGGTTTCAACAGTTTAGTGCAAGACCAGCACAGCAGTCGGTGTGCCACATGTGATAGAATAGAACAGGATGTTTATTGACATTACTGACCACTGTTAGAAGAAAAATCACAGCAGTGGTATAATATTTTCTATTGTGGGCTTGACCTTACATGTGTATACTTTGAAATTCTAGTATCATTAATTTTTACAGACAGGCTCCTTCCCCTGCTTTGAAATTTGAAGGTAAAAATCACATTTAAGAGCAAATTAACCATTTGCAAATTTAGTAATGTAAGCTAAAGCTGGTTCATAAGTGGTGGATGTCTTAATGAGAGTAATTTTTTTAAACAAGCTGATTGTACTACCTTCCTCCTTGTTCTCCTCTATTTATAAACTACTCTGTGAGTCTTGACCAGGCAGCTGTTCCAGAAACTTTGCAGCACATCAGGGAAATGAGGGGGGTTTAGTCTTCTATTTCCTGGGAGAAAACACTAAAGTCTGTTTTAAATTGCATTTCTGTTTTTTTTTTTTTTGCCAGCTCTATGCTTCTGATGTATTTTTTTCACACAGTTGCTTCTCTTTCATTCTAAAAGAGTAGGACTGTCAGTGTGCTATAATCTGTCAGAATCAAGTAAAAATGGAATTCCTAAAATAGCATCAGTAGGGCATACTTAAAATATATATATATATATTGGTTTTAACATTTGTCTCTAGTATTTCACTCTTCAAGGGGAGGAAAAGTTGGTTAAAAACTTTGTTTTCATAGTGTAGAAAAATAAATATTAGGAGTGAAAGTGTCATTTTTATCTATCTGGGATGAGCATAGGCCTGGGAATCTGAAACTGATGAATCCAGTCTCCTCATCTAAGACAGGCTTGTTTAAAGCAACTTCTTTGCTTCAGTTTATCCATTTATGGGCTGGACACAATTCCTAATTGCCTGTCTTAGAGAAATAGGCAGAACTCATTTCACATTCATAAACCTCTTTGAAACTGTAACTTTTCCTGCATTATACTGGGGATTTGGAAAGAATGAGGAAACTTTGTAACAATTGCTGTATATTTTTTGAAAACCAATGAAAATAAGCCTAACACTTCTATATGCATGGCATTGTAGTGTTATGTGTGGGTGATGTGTGTTAATATTTCATGCATATCCTTAAGCTCTTGCAGGGAAAAGATCTACTTTGTCATGACTTCAGTTGACCTAAAACAATGTATGTAGTTGAGGATGGCTCAGGACTTTAGTGAAATGAGATTTGATACCCAAATAACCTCATCTGCAGCATTTGTTCAAGATTAGTAAGTCAGTACATAGAATTGTGCTAAGGGGTGATTTGCTTCTGAATTGCATGGGGTGATTCACAGGGAGTTTGGAGTTCGATCCTACAGGACTTCTGCCTGAAAGTAGTCCTGGTTTTGGGGAGATATTGCCTGAATTCATTTTCTGGGCTCAGGTGCTGGGTCTCTCCATTTTTCTGCCTAGTCTTTATCTTTCAGTGCAAAATTCAGACAGTTTCAGGGTTTGATTCGGTTGCCTTTGAAGCTGATGACAGATTTCTTACAGACTGCAGAATAAGTAGGATTAAGTTTTTGTAGTAACGAAAAATTCAGTATTAAGAAACTGGGTCTTTGTAGACTTTGGGAATGAAAAGGCTGAGGGTCAGTAACACTGCGTGGGACAGTTTGTTTCTCTGGCTTTATTCTTCCAAGGATGTTACTGAATATTCCTTAAACTATGGGGGGGAGGAAGGATTAATTAGTATGTTTTGGAAAGGCAGTGTGAACTGTTTCGTCCTCAGCATTCCCATGCACCGTGTTTGCATTAGTAACAGGCAGTTTCTATGAGCAAGGTGTGCAGGGAGAGCTTTCTGAAGAGGCTCTGGGTGTTGGCAGAGGCTTCTCCCTTGGGTGAGAGTTTCACTTCTCAAATCTGCGAGCTATTTGCTTGGCACTTTGGAGAGGAGGGAAACGGCTGCGCTCCAGAGAGCATGGTAAGGAACAGAGCTGCCAAGCAGGCTGAGAAGAGGAAAAAGGATTTAGAAGCCTCCTTGTCTTGGCTGGAGAAGGGAGTGTCTGACTTCTCTTGCCCAGCAGATTATTTAAAAATGATCCCTGGGAGCTCAGAGGTGGTAACTGCTCCTTTCTTGCCTGGATGCAGCGGACTGGGAGTGGTAGCAGGGTCATGTGGGTGTCAAGAATGTGTATTTTCACAAAGATTACGTTATTTGTGTTTAATTAACTCTCGCATTGTGGCCTGTGCAGGTGAAACCCGCATGCGATTCTACGAACTGCTCGTTAATGGTCTTTACACTCCTCAGACCCTCCCTGTAGGCACCGAACAGGACGTGTCCCCAACTGGGAATGAAGCTCTCCAGGTAGGTGTGCTTGGCTTTTTATTTTTTTTTTTTTAATAATAACTTCCTGGGAAACTCCACACATCAGCATCAGCGTTTTAACGCTTTCAATTTAGCTTCTTTTTCGTGTCTTGCCATAGTTCCAGTGGATGTTGCTAATTCACATTTAAATATAACTTGCTCATAATTGCCTTAGCAAATGTACCTCTGAATCAGAGCATGTGGCTGATCTGTGTCTCCACAGCACGGGAAGTGCTTTTTGTCTTTCTGAGTGAAAAATGCCTCCAAAACCGACAGAATGTGCCCTATTAACATCAGAAATTCCTGCAGTTAGGACTGGATCAGATCTGTCCCTGAGATGAGATTATTCCCTTGAAGTCAGGGGAATGATTTACAGTGGTACATTTGGCCTGGTGTCTGTGGTGTGTAATCTCAGCGCTCACGGACTTCAGCCTTGCTTAAAGGCTAAAAGGTGGAAGGGGACTGAGCTTCAATAGTGGCATCAATTTTCCAGAATCTTAATTAGTTGCTGGAATCAGCTGTTAATAAAAGCAGTGGGCAGAATTCCCGAGGGCTTCCAGGGGTCCCTCGATATTTAGGGCACAATTCTCTGCGTGGCTTTGTACGATTACCTGCTTCCCTGCAAACCCCACTGGGATGAGAGGGCGAGGGGGAAGGGAAGCCTGTTTGTGTGAAGTTGTCAGCCTCTTTGACTTGTCTAAATGTACTTTGCCTCCTCATTGTGACTTAAGAACCCACTTTAAGACATCAAATTTGAAAGAGATTTGGCAGGGATTTTTTTTTTCTCTACTTCTCTGCGCTCTTAAAATGTCATGATTTCATTAATTCTGAGATCAGGCACTCTCAGGACAGGTGAGAGCTGTACCTTGAACATGGAAATTTCATTGATCTGAAAAAATAAATTTCTCCTCTTCTCCCACCAACCATCCCAACCATCACCAAGGCAAAATCTCAGTATCTTTTTAATAAAATCATAAAGAGGTTTGTTCTTCCTTACCTCCCAGCAAGGTGCTTTTAAAGGCAGGAAGGAGGTGAGTAATGATTTTGCTGGGAGTCCTGCTATGAGCAGGGCCTGACTGCTCATTTCTGCTGGTTCCATATCTCAAATAAAAATAGACAGATTTGTTCTTACTCTTTTTTTGGGGTTAGCAGCAAATTGATGGTATCCCCCAAAGTAGTCCCTGCTGTAGTTATCTTTCAGATTGTTTCTCTAGATGCTGTGCTTGTGCATTATATTATTATCCTGAATTGATTTTTTTTCTCAATTATCACCAAAATTATTGCTTTGTGGGTAACTTTAGCTGTTCTGTATCATGTTTTTGACTCCAGAATCCACCAACAAACTTGTTTGCTGTTGCAGTGTAGTAAAATGCTCCTGACAGTTGCTTTCCCCCTCATGCAGAGCAGCAAAGACCTGACAGTTCTGGAGTCCCTGCCTCCAGGCCATGTACAAACCCCACTGAAAGGCAGTCCACAGCACATCTACACCAAAGGTGCAGAGATGTGGGTGTTGTCAAGAACCAGCCACGTGCTTCCTGCTCCTTTCTGTGGGTTTTAGAACAGTTGAGGAACAAACTTTCCTGGTGTCCCTGTGGCCATGGTCTCTCGGGGGTCACACCAAGAGCAAGTCCTCACTGTTGAGTAGGTGAGATGTGTGTGAGCGTAGCAGGCAGGTGAGGGCTCAGCTGGAGTTTGCTGCTGGCATGTTCCAGGCAGGTCGTTTTACAGGTCTCTCTACCTGCCTGTGCTTGAGGGAGCAGCAGCCAGCCTGTAGCCTCACCAGTTTGCTGTCCTGGTGTGATTTTTGGGGAGCTGGAGCTCAGTCCTGCCGCTCTTGCTGCCAGGGGGATTCTCCCTGAGCTCCTGCTTTGCATTATGGAAAATTGATTCCGGAGCTGATGATTAGTGTGGCACTGTTATGACTCAGCAGAGTCTGAGTTGGAGCAGGGCTGCTCCTAGAAACCCCCTGAACGTGCCTGTGGAGTGACTTGCAGAGCAGTTCCTTGGCTGCTCTGTAGGTTTGTAGGGTTTCGGTTTCAAATGCCATAATCAGCAGTGCTCTACCTGAGCATTCATCTTTGGGAAGGGTTTTAAAAAGGTGCTTTTGGCAGTTGAGAACTTTTTGTGCCTTTTATATGTGCAGCCTTCTCTCTTGTTACAGGTGAATGTTTGGGATAGAGGCTGGTGGGGCAGCTCTGCTGCAGAGGTTTGGCTGCAGGCTGGCAGTTTGCTGTTTTGTGTTTTTTGATTTGTTCCCCAAAAAAGATAAATTGGTAATTTCACATCTCAGACTTTTTTCATTTTCTTTCCTATATGCAATTTAGACAAGCCTTACATAGTTGATAGAAATTGGAACTCTTTCAGATAAAAGTGGTGCGCAAGTCTCCTGTTCACCTGATGCACTTGGGTGTAGCTTATGAGGAAAACTGTCTGCTTTCTTCTTCCTCCTCTTGCAGACAAGTTCCTCTTTGCCTTTTTTTTTTAAATCAAAGGGAACTGTTAATAATGGATAATGGTTTGTGTTTTCAGGGATGCTGCAACCTGTTTGTTTTTTTGGTCTTGGAAATCACTGCGAACTCTCGAGTACTCAGCTCCTCTGAAAACCAAACGGATTAGACAAATATCTTTGTCAAAGTGTGTGTTTAGGTGCTTTTCTCTCTTCTGTTTTCACAGTTGACGGATTCCCTGAAGCGCCTGAAAGACAGTAACCTTTCTTCCACGGGCTCCTCTGTGACCCCAAACAGCAGCACGCCCTTCTCCCACGACACAGCCTATTCCAGCTGTCGGCAGGACACCCCGAACTCGTACAGCCAATTCACCCCGCAGTCCCAAGGAACACCTCACACCCCACGGCTAGGGACGCCCTTTTCCCAGGATTCCACCTATTCCAGCCGCCAGACCACGCCTGTGTACCATTTTGGGCAGGACAGCGGGTACAAACCCAGGAGACACGAAACAAAATTTACGGATGCGTACAACCGCCGCCCGGGACATCAACACCACTACGTGCACAACTCGGCGGGCGTGTTCCGAGGCACGGAGCATCAGTTCAGCACGTACAAATCCCATCAGCAGGAGCCAGTTCAGTTCTCTCACACTCCTCCCCTGAGCCACTCTAGTTCTTCGAGCTACAAATCTGCCTTCTCTCCCTACCAACCACCAGCTGTATTTCCCCAGTCCGACGAGCAGCAGTTTCCCCAGACTTCCAGGGAAGCAGAGTACCGGAGACCTGCGCCCCCTCCCACTGAGATGGTTGTGGAAAGCAGTGCTGCCCCTAGCATCGATTTTGTCCCAGTGAAGGAGAAACCAGAGGAGCCTCCGCCCTTGCCCGACTCGAACTCTGTTCCTGAACCGAGCACAGCATCCTTCTCTCAGACTCCAGAGAGGAGCGAGACCCCTGGCACCCCCACCATGGAGTCTGAAATGCAGCATAACAGTTTAGACTCAAGGATTGAGATGCTCTTAAAAGAGCAGAGAACAAAGTTACCCTTTCTTAACGAGCACGACTCGGATAACGAGATCCGAATGGAAGGTAGCCCAATTTCCTCCTCTTCTTCCCAGCTCTCTCCCATCCCAACGTACGGTTCGAACTCTCAGCCCGGTTTCAGGGGGCAGACGCCTTCCTCACGGCCTTCCAGCACGGGCTTGGAGGACATCAGCCCAACGCCGTTACCTGACTCTGACGACGACGAGCCCATCCCTGGGACAGCTTCCCTGAGTCAGAATTCCCGGGGGACATCGGAGGCCAGCATGACTCCCATTGATCAGCTGAGCAGGACCTCCAAAATTGAGACCTCGGAGGCTAAAGAGATGGTGCCTGGTGACCAGACTCCAACGTCAGAAAAAATGGACGAGGTGAGTGAGCTGGAACTGACCTGTGGAGCTCTGTGCTTGTCCCTGGAGCTGGACAGGGCAGGGGATTGAGCTCGGCTTTGTGTCGTCAGAGCATGAGGTTTCTGGTGGCTTGTTCTTTTGCTCAAGGCAGCTGGAAATGAGTTAGACGTGACACAAAGTGATGGTCTTAATCAACTTACCGGTCTCCAGCTTTCCATGTTTATAATATCAGCCTGCTGCAATTTATAGCTTCAGGAGAGCTCAAGGACTGCACGAGCCCCCAAAGTTTGGCCAGTGCCCCTGCTGTGTGAATGTCCTGAGTGTTGACAGACACTTAAGCCACTAGAGGAGTTAATGAAGCACTTTCTGCCATTGCTGTGGTCCCTGAGCAGGGGTGTGTATGTAGCCACGCTCTTGCTTAACGGGGCTTTCATGTTGCACTGAAGTATTGAGTGCATACGATGTTTGAAAGCTTTCCAGCTATTTCTGCCATCTGGTTCAAACGGGAGACAGTTGTTGGGTTTTAATACTCCCTTTGCTGGGTTGGAAGGGGGAGGTAGTTGACTTGTGGGGGATGTGCTCCACTGAGTCTTCCAATAATAGAGCAGAGCTTGCTGCCTCTGCCGGGGCATTTGTGGCTGAAGGGAGAGCGAGAGCTGAACAGTGTGGAGTGGTGCCAGCAGACAGAGGAATTATGTTGCATGGCCTGTCTGTTTGGGAAGTCTGTTGCAACAAATGTGACTATCACTGCAGTGGACGTGTGGGTCCTATTCTGCTGTGTCAAGGAACAGTCAAAATACAGATCTTTGCAAGTGCCAGGCCCTTTCTCCTCAGCGTTTATAAATGGTCATGCAAGCGAATGAAGCTGCTGTCCCTGGCGTGCAAGAACGCTGCAGTCAAGAGGGCTGGTCTCGTTTAAATGTCCTGAGCGCGGTAGATCAATTTAATTTACTCATGAAAGTTTGCCGGGGTTAAGCTGGCAGGATGGATTTCCCTCCAGTGGTTTGCAGTTGTGAGGTTTTCACCCGAGAAGCAGCTGCATTTCGGGAGAGGAGGAGCTGCTCCCGTAGCTGTGGGCTTTGCAGAGGCTGGAGGGAAAGCTCTGCAGCAGTAACAGAGGGCAGGTCTCGGTGCTACACAGTGAAAACAGTGTGACCGCGCTGGATATTTTGTTGGTTTTTTTCTGCGGGCCTTTCCAAACCTTCTTGTCCTCGCACTTGCCAGTTCAGCCTTTGAAACAATTCAGCTGCTTGAGTTCTCATTCATCATCGGGGCTGGCCCAGGCTCCCCTCTTGGGAGGCAAGTCCCTGGCCCGTGGGGCCTGATGATGTGTTAATTAGGAATGGAGTTTTGATTCCTTGAGCTCGGTCTGGCAGGCGCGAGAGGGGATACTGTTGGTTTGCCTAAAAAACAATAAGAAGACACCCCTCATCTGCTGCCCTTCTGGGTTTGTGTTTGCTGTCCTTGCTGTCGTGCAAGTGGGTTGCAGCCAGTTCTGGGTGTGTTTAGGAAGGTGGGTGGACGCCAGGCTGGTGTGTGGGGTCAGGCACTTTCTGTAGCTGACACTGGCACTGGGGGACTGGCTGGGGTGGGATGTTGTAGGCTGTGATGTGGGGCAGCAGCGTGCTGATGTTGAAGCCCTTGTTAAGTCTTTGTTTCTCCTTAATGAGATGCTGGTGTCAGAAGTTCACATCGCTGGTTCTGTGATACAAAATGATGTAAATGCCTCAATCCTCTGCAGAAGTCAGAAGGGTGATAGCAAAGAGTCCATACAGGTCATTGCTGCCTTAATTGTCTCCTCCCCTTTCCCCCCCAAAAAAAGTTGATGTTTGATGTTTGAGATGTTTATTCAAACCTCCTCTTGGTTACAAATCACAGTAAGCTATTCTGGCATGTTTGAAAAGTTGCCTGTGCCGTTCATTGCTCCTTGTGATGCACAGAAAACAATCTCCATGTGTTTTTGCTTCTTTTGCCTGCTCTTCTCCCCCACAGTTCTTTGCTTTAGAAAACGACTCTCCTGGCTTTCCTCTCTTTTGCTGAAGGAGCAGAGCTGAGCAGTGTCTTAACATAGGCTGAAATTTGAGCTGCAGCTTTCCAACCGAGTTAGAGAGGGGCATTGAGTCTGTCTAAGGGCTGGAAAGCTGAACCTCCGGCTTCAGCCTATTGTGATACCACTATTCAACTCCAGTCCTTCAGAGAATCCTCCAGCAAAACAGAGGGAAGGCAGACCCGAATATTTCTAGTGACTGTGTGGCTTGGGGAGTGGAGCAGGAATGACATATTAGTGTAGGGAGGGCTCATTAAGTATCATAAGGAAGCAATAAAGGGCAGAGAGTTTGAACTTCTTATTTACTTCGTATCTGGCTCTTCAGGGGTCGGAGCAGCCCCAGGCCAGCTCTCTTTGGGCGGGTGCTCTAGCTGGGAAAATCTCAGGGTTCGTAAGGGTGCCAACAAAGTTGCAGGGAAGTTTTTCTTGAGGACCTCATCCTGTTTTCCACCAAACAAGCATGATTTTTGTCAGTGATGGCTAATACAGTAACATCTGCTCTGAAGGTGAAATGCTGTCGAATCATCAGGCAAATTAACCCCCCCCAGACTTGCCATAAGTAAAGGAGGCACAGCCCAGCCCCAGCAATTGCTCCGATTTATCTTGCAAGACCCCGGAGTTTGATTTCAAGATCCGGTATGATACTCCTAAGCCAGAGTTTGGCAGGGAGTTTGGGTGTGGGAGAGGAAGGGCTGTGCATCTGTCTGCAACACCTACCCCAACTAATATGGGAGCAGTGATTAAGGTCTGCAGAGGAAGTCCTGCTCAGCTTAGCCAAGGGACGAGGCCGAGGTGTGGAACTGAGTGGGATGTGGGCAGTGCGAAGTGAGGGGAGGAAAAGGATCATTTCCAAACAGCACAACCTGCCAGCCAGGAAGACGGGGCAGAGAGGGCTTTTTCAAGAAACTAGAAGGTGGCAAAGGAAAAAAAAAGGAAAGAAGAAAAGCTGAGCTGCATTGTGATATCAGGAGAATTTTTGAGGGTAGCAGTGTCCAAGCTTACCTTCCTGTGTGCTTGAAAAGATAAAAAGGAAAGAATTGTAATAATTTTCCTTCACAGGATCTTGGCTGTTTCAGAAGTGCAAAGGTTAAGTACGTACAGTTTGACGTTTTGACATCCCATCTGAGCCAGGTCTTGTTTTGGCTTGGCTTGTGACAGGAAGAGGCCCTGCCTTTGTGCTGGGGAGGGTGACAGGATTGCAGCGAGTCACTTTGTTGTATATTGATGATGTCTTTCATGTTTCAGCTTATGAATGTATCAGTCTGTGTGCATAGCCAGCGTGTAATAGGAAGACTGCATGGTTGACAGTGGTGTTTTTCTAGATGTATAAGTACAAAAGTACTTTTTAATTGAGGGATAAGCAGCCTCTTGTCTTCCTGGTAGTTTGGCTAAGCACCGAGTTACTGTAGAGGGAGGGGCACCTTAAAAACGCCAAAGATCATCATAAAAATAAAGATCCTGAAACATGAATGAGGCGGGAGCAGTTCTGCTGTTTGCTGTGAATTTTAGCAAATGGATTGGGGAGTGAACTGAAAGTCACACAGTGCACAGCAGCCCTGGAGACCCCGAAAGCCGCTGCTGTCACCAGCTGTCCCACCCGGCTGTTGTGAATGCTTTTAATGCCGTGCTGGGTGCTGAAGTGCCTGTTGCAGGACAGTGTCAGCATCCCTGTGACGAGCAGGGTCCTCTCATGGTTACCCAGGGAGAATTTCTGAGCTGGGCTTACACACGGATGAGGTGGGTCATGCTCAGCCCTACAGGAAGCTCTGCTGAAGTCCCTGAGGTTACATCTGGGCTAAATTTGCACTTGTTGTAAAAGTGTCTTTGGGTTCTTGTGTGGTCACGGCCAGAACTGGAAGAAATTTATGTTGAAGTGTCACATTGTCCCTCCGGAGCCGTAGCAGGATGTGATGACATTCTCCTCAAGACACTGCCTCGTGTCTTGTGTGGCTCCTTGCTGCTGCCTCCCCGTCCAGACCGGGCAGTATTTCAGTAGCTGGTAAACGATTCCCCTTTCCTGCAGGGCCAAATTCAACCTTTAGTTGTCGTGAACGCTTGTGAGACAAACCAGTGCCCCAGTGCCATCCGGGCAGCGAGAGGAGCTGCCGGGGTTTCGCTGCCAGCAGTGCCTGCGGTGGTTGCCCCAGCAGTGGTCGATGCTCCTTGGAGCTGAGCTGTGCAGGAGCACTTCTGTCTGTGCCTGCAGAGGGATGTTCTCCTCTGTACTCTGCTCTCACCCATGGATTGTGTGGGTCAGAGGCAGCCCTGTGTTCCTGGGATGTTTGTGATGGCTTACGTGGAGCCTCCTAAGGATGAACACAGTCGCACCCTTCTGAGGGATGTTCCTGGGCTGGATGGTGCAGAAGTAATTTATTCAAGGTAAATGCACATTAAGGTTGTGAAGGTAGATCCTTAAGAGCCAGGAAATTCGATACCTTCGTTTCCACAGTAACTGTGCAAGAGCCCTTATGCCCATAAGTAGCTGTTATGTATGTATAATATATATGGGTACACCTGGGATCCAATTTACAGCTGGAGTGGGATTCATCATTTCTGGAGGGAGATGGGGGGGAGTAGATGTGGCTAATGGTTGCTCTCAATGTAGTTTTTTAATTGAAGAAGGGAGAAAATCCTGAGAGCTGTGATTTATGCCCAGTCTCATAAACACTTTTTCAAATTTTCCTGCCTCCTGAGCTCTTGCGAATGCGATCATGCCTGACAGAACCGGTTCCTAATGGAAAACTCAAAAAATAGGTGTATGTTATGACCATGACTTTCCAGAAATGCAGCCAGCCAATGCCCAGGCAGCAGAGATTTGGATGACTGCTGTGGTTTTACATGTGAATTACACCAGCCATGCTCAACCTGTGAAATTAAAATGAGAGTGAACTATTTAAGCTGTGGGTTCGGCTCTGCCCTCGCTGACCCACTGCACAGCAGCAGCGAGAAGCCACAGCGACTTCAGGGGATCTTG